TCTGTAATGCTGCTGTAGATGTGCACCTGTATTTATTGAAGTTCCACTATTCTTTGCAGTAAAAATGTTGCAATTTAAGAATGCCCTCTGGGGAAGATACATTTGACTGACACAGAACATTGTCGCCTCTCCTCTTGTGTTGCAGTGTGGTGCCTGGCCTGTGAGTGCAGAGTCTCCGATGGGCGAGCGGTCACAGAGGTTGTTTTCAAAGTCTGTGTAGTGTGCCGTTCTGCAGAGGGCACCCTGGTCAATGGCAGCCATGGTAGAGATGAGGTTCACCCTAGTGGACTATGTGATTTTTGCCCTCCTGCTCTTGCTTTCCTCGGGCATTGGGCTCTACTATGCCTTCTCAGGGGGCCGCCAGCGCACGATGCAGGAGTTCCTGCTGGCGGACCGTAGCATGAGCTGCTTGCCTGTGGCCCTGTCTCTGCTCGCCACCTTCCAGTCTGCTGTGGCCATTCTGGGGGTACCTGCAGAAATCTACACCTCCGGCACACAGTATTGGTTCCTAGGCACTTCCTATGTGCTTGGGCTCCTGATTCCTGCACACATCTTTATTCCTATGTTCTATCGATTGCGGCTGACCAGCGCCTATGAGGTAAATGCAAACCCCTTCATCTTATCCTCTCACCATTGAAGTCTGCGTGATAGCCTTCTCTCTGTGTGCTTGGGTCAAGTTTTAATGAGAAAGGAATTACATGCTAAATATATCATCTTAACTGCATCTTAAAAGACTACCTTCTTCGGCTCAGTAGCTAATGAGGAGATGGTTACTAGCTTATCTAGAAGCTTTTATATCTGAATCTGCTTATGTCTCCTCCTTCCCATTGTCTGAATCTAAGCTCCACTCTGTTCTGTCCGCTGATGAAGCCTAGTAAACAGTTTTAGTTTTTCTGGCAGGAGACTTCTTCTTTAGGCAGAAGAAGCTTTATCAATACAAGGAAAACATGTGACTAAAGTATAAGTAAAGTTCCCATGTAGATTTTCGCTGGTAAATATGTGTGGTGGAAGTTACTCCTATATGCTGATTTCAATGAAGACCTTCATTGGTTAGAGTGATTGTAAATTAAAATACCTATCAAATATGGATGGTCACATACATGATGATTTTATTAAATAAAGACATAAAGGCCTGCAATGCTAGTAACTTTTATTCCATGAGCACAGCATTACCTTATACCCTTCACAAACTCCTTGCAAAGAAATACACTTCTTGCTTGTTTTGTAATTTCCTATATTCCTACAACAAAGAATTCCTGAGGTGTATGATCTACTAGAGCACTGTTCAACATATAAATTTAGACATGCTACCTGTTTTCAAGTTTTTTTCCTCCTTTGGAGGACATTGTTCTGTATATGTCTGATTAGGCAGCTGTGTCAGCTCTTCCGTTACAAGTCAAGGTTATTTCCATGCTGAAAAGTAAAAAAAATGATAAAATACAGATGTTTCACCTGCCAGCCTTTTGGGGGGGTGACACACAGATGAAATTATGTTTTTTCTTCTTTTTTCTTAGCATGGACTTAACCTCTGCTTTTTAATTATTCTTTCTTATTTCACTACTCTGCACTCTTTCCGTAAAAAATATCTTCTCTGTTGTTACTTAATTGTAGAGTTTACTAAAGGTTCCAACCCTTTGTCACTGCTCCATGTGTTCCACTCGCATTGCCCAAAACAAATATAATCTTAAGAGAGCCATGTGATATGATATGGTACTGTATATTGATATAATAATTTCAATTACATTTATTGAAAGACGTTTGTAAATATCATCTGTTACATCAGGTGTGGTCTTTGCGATCTGAAATGACTAATATCTTTTTTCTTTAGTATCTGGAGCTGCGCTTCAACAAAGTGGTTCGACTTTGTGGAACTATAACCTTTATCTTTCAGATGGTGAGTGTTCATCCACTTTGTGGCTTTATCAGAATTATCATTGTCTATATTATAGTTAATAAAAAAACTTGCAATATAAAAGGATGTTGGCCAAGTGAAAATTATTGTTGTTTTGCTTTTCATGTAAGGGAAATAGGTCTGTAAAAAATTAAATGATTTAAAGAAACCACAAACAACAATGTGCGTAAAATAGATAGAGGAAGTACTGTAAATAAATTCAAAGAATTTTGGAAACACTTTAGAGAGAAGTTAAGGACGGAATAATTCCTCCAATATTCCCAAAAAACATTTAAGAGTTTTTGTTTCATACGTCAACATGTATAAGTCAGGGATAGAGGACTTTCAAATGAAGTAAACTCTTATGTCAAATTTGGAACTGGAAATACAAATAGCATCACCAGTACTCAAAATTCAGCTAAGTCTGTAAAACGGAGTGAAAAAAGTAAAAGTGAAACTACACCCTTTACAGACAAAGGTATTTTGTTGGATTATCAGGAATCTGATTTGTGGTCATTCTGAACTATAACAGAAGCAACAACAAGGAGCTGGGAAATTCTTGATTGATTCTGTGAGCATGATATAGAGTTTGTGTCTATTTTGAGATCTATTCAGTAGAGTTGGGGAAATTTGATAAAATACATAACACCTTCTTCATCTTTGAAGCTCTGATCACACTAGTATCCAGAGTGTATTGAATGTGTTTGTACTGTATTGATTTTTTTCTGTATAACACTGCACAGCAATAACCAGGGAAAACAGACAATAATGTGGATGTAAATACAGCAGGCTCTGTATTGCTAGGTGTACTTGTCTGACTATACAGTATTTGTCCCATTTTGCAGGTGATCTACATGGGTGTAGTTCTCTATGCTCCTGCACTGGCTCTCAATGCAGGTAAAAGAAGCCCTCTGATGTCTGCTTTTAAACATGCTGTGTAAGAAACAGTACAAAGTGATATATAAAATTAATTAGCTGAAAAGGAGAAATATGAATACTTACACAAGCTTGTTTTTCAATGTTCTTTGGTGTTGCACATCTTTTGTCACACATAAACATTTTTATAAACAATTAATATGTTTAATCAATATCATTTGTTCATACTGAGAAATGTTTGTTTTTAAATACATTAGTAGTGTGTATAAATGCTGATGTTTTAGTAATTTAAAAAGGTCAGAACAAATGCTGAGCTGAAAGATGCTCCCAGACTTCAAAATTTCAGAAATCTTCTGTCAGGTGTAAACCAAAATGAAAATAGATTTCTGAAATTGTTATCGTAATTTAATAAGTTGGGACTGATAAACCTTTACTATGAGATACTAAGCCCTTTGCTTTTTTTAATGTCTGTAGTTACAGGCTTTGACCTTTGGGGAGCAGTGCTGACTGTAGGTCTGGTTTGTACCTTCTATACTGCGTTGGTAAGTGAGGAATCTGGTGCTGCGGACTTCTGCAGTCTCTTACTCCCACAGTCATCACTACATCTCTGTTGATGGCCAAGTCAGAACATGTCAAGACTGAACCTTTCAGTGTCCCCTGTTTATGGGGCTCTATTGTGATGTGAAATTCAATGCCCTCTTGTGAAGGTGTGTGTGAGATGGCAAATCCTGTTTCTAGAGTGTTTTCAGTCATGGCAAGAGCAAAAAAAAATGATATTTGAATTGTAAAAGCTGATTTTGTACACTTTTTGGTTATACTGTATTTCTATAAAGACATTCTCTACATTTAGTAGGTAGGTGCGTCAGCATGAGTAGGCTTCCAAGGAACGGGTAACAGGTTTATTCCATGCTGAAAAGAAAAGAAAGCAAACGCAACGTTTCAGGTGTCTCACACCTGAAGAAGGCTCCACAGCCACCGAAATGTTGTGTTTCCTTTCTTTTCTTTTAAGCATGGGATAAACCCGTTACCTGTTCTTTTGCATTCTCTTCATTTTCTCTTTTGGACATGTTTTTTCTTCTTTTATTTACAAGATGTTAGGAAACAGAAACTCTCTGGCAAGTAGCTGTTTTACAATACATTTGCTGCAGGTGACTTCCATAGAACTCCATAAGGTCTGCTAATATACAGTAGTCAAGATCTTCCTGAAAGGACATGTTACTAGTTACTTCAAAATCAGTAAGAATTTGGGGAAATAAGATTAGAATGCTACTTAGATATCAATGTGTGTAGATTTCTTATGATTTTTTTAATTGAAAACGATTCCTTTGATGATGTTCTCTGAAGCTTGCCATGTATTCTGGATGCTGTACTGTGCTGGGTATTATTGAAGACACCTCTCACATAATCATTCATGCTAAGAAATAAAGATGAAAAAGAATGCATTTGATGAAAAATACTTAAAAGATAGGAGGTTCATAAAAAAAAGTCCTGCAATAGTCTCTTTTTATGGTAAAGTGGCTCTATGTAAAATATATTAACAAGACAGTTCAGTGTGGGTCTCATGCAAAGTAGGAAGTAACCACACACTTTATGTTAGGGCCAATATAAAACTGGCCCTAACTAAAACTGGATTTTCTGGTTCAAGAGAAATAATATTTTTTCAAATTCCAACATTTGCCAAAAAATCATGATTGTAGCTTTGTTGTCATGTCTTATCTGTTGGCAGGGTGGCCTGAAGGCGGTGATTTGGACGGACGTTTTCCAGACGGTGGTGATGTTTGCTGGCCAGCTAGCAGTCATTGTGGTTGGAGCATACCAAGCTGGAGGGATTGAAGCTGTCTGGAAGAAAGCACAGGAGGGGAATCGCATCTCTGGACTAGAGTGAGTACCCTTTAGGGCATTCTGTTGTAGCAGTTGAGGCAGTGTTGCCCACCCCTGGTCCAGGTGGACCTCTGTGTCTCCTGGTTTTTCTTCCAGCAGAGTTCTTAATTGACAATTGATCTCAGTTTTCTGAGGAAAATTTTAAAATTAGCTTTCAGCTCTTAAAACATTGATTAGGATTTGGAATTGGTATTATTGTTTTCTGAGTTTGAGAACTCCCCCTTATTATTGTGTATTGCTTGTAATATAATATACTGGACTTTAATTCATTGGAATTCCTGCCTGTATTTATTCCTCCAACAATGATCACTTATGAAGAACTGTGCTATCAGAGTGCAGAAATAATAGACTTTATTCAGTCCTTCCTTGACTTTTCTTTAGCTTTTCAATAAAAATGACTATTTGACTAAATATTAACATGAGTGGGAAAACTGGTGTTTACTGTCTGATTTAACAAGCGTAGACTTCAGTATATTTTCTAGAACTAAAGTCTGACTTTATTTTTCATTAATCCTTAATCAGTCTATCGGTTCGAATTCACAAGTAAGCCTTCGACCAAATTAATGTCCTTAAGATTGTGCAGGAATAGAAGATTGCCGCTGAGGCTCTGACCCGTCATCCTTCTGGCTCCACAGTCTTAATCCTGACCCGTTGGAGCGGCACACCTTCTGGACACTGGGTGTGGGAGGGGTCTTCATGATGCTTGCACTGTATGGGGTGAACCAAGCACAAGTGCAACGCTACCTCAGCTCCCGGACTGAGAAGGAAGCCATCACGTACGTTAAGGCCTTTTATTTACTTGTCACAGGTTTCCATGAGGACTGACAAATAGTCTGAGGCACTCCAGCCTTACCTTTTGTGACACTAGTTCAACTGTGACGTCACATCAGTTAATAGACACCTAACACTAATAAAAGAACATTTTCACATTCCTGTCCTTCAAATCTAGGCTTCTTACTTTCTTGTGTCATGTTTCTGTTCAGTTCAGTAATGGGTGATTTGTGTTTTTTATTTGGTGGATCAGTCACAGCTTAAGATAGGAGTGAAAATATTGCTGGTTCAAATATGGCTGTGTTAGCCCATTGAAAAATGTTTGATGAGTTGTACTAGGTGATCTCCGTTGCAGTTTGGGTGCTTATGAGTCTTTGTCTGTCAGTGGAAACAGCTGTGACGGGCATATTCTGAGACAAAGCTGATAATTGTTGGACATTGCATGTAAAGAGTTAAGTTAAATAGTAACTGTCAGTTTCCAAATTTGTCAATGTAAAATGGAAATGTTTTTTGACAATTCTACATTTCAGGAGATAAATAAATGGTGAGTCAATAAACTGCAGTCTAATCCAATTATATTTCCTTTAAGATGTAGATATTTAATTGGTTACTGAATACTTGTTTGGCTAGGTACTTCTGAATAAAATGGTTGTTGTTATGAATTACATTGACATTTTAATTCACAAGTTTGATTATAATTAACAAAATATAGATTAATATCTAACAAAAAGAAATCCTATTGTATTGCAGAACATGTGGTGAAATTTGGATTCTCCTTTGATGCCTCCCTGTTAACTGTGTGTGAAGCCTCACTGTCTTGTTCTCCCCATGTGTGTGAAGGTCCTGCTATGTGGTGTTCCCTTGTCAGCAGATTGTGTTGGCCTTGGGCTGTCTAATGGGACTGGTGATGTATGCACGCTATGGGGAAGAAAGCCCTCTGGCCAGCGGATATGTTAAAGCCAAAGACCAGGTTAGTTAAGAAAAGGTATTTGCTACATGCAAATACCATGCATTTTTACACATGTTGAAGGCAACGTGTATGTGAGTTTTGCTACTGTACATTCATGAGCCAGGACACTTATCTCAATAACATCCCTGTGTCTGTAGATGGTGCTGTATTTTGTGATGGACGTACTAAAGGATCTGCCTGGACTGCCAGGATTGTTTTTGGCTTGTCTGTTCAGCGGAGCTCTCAGGTACCAGTCTGTTACTCTGTTCAATTGTCTGTCCTCAGCAGTCCCTTTAGGCTCGGGCTCTCCGTCAAGATTTTCAAAGCCCTCTCCCATTCCTGCTTTCCATTTTAAATTATATGAAAATGTCGCTTACTGTGGGAGCAAGCCATAAAAACAACATCTACCAAAAACATTAGTCTCACGGGGAAAAGGACTGGTTTTCACATTGGTTTATATTTATAATCCTAAGGTGTATCAAGCATAGATCCTCTGAAAAATCCATTTGGAGTTGAACTTGTTATCCATTCTACCTGTACTGTCAGCAAAACATTCAATCCGTGGTTTTCTTTGCATCAGGAAAGAGGCAGTAGGCCTGAATTAGTTCCATGTCTACAGATAGCTCTTATATCGTGAATTCTGTCGAGAGCTACTGTGTGTAGACAGTCATCTAACCAGGCAAAGTTTATCTTAACATCAAGATTTCCATTTTATTTTAGTTGTTTTATTGGTATTTTGCAAAAATATCGAAGGGAGCACTAATTTGATTAGTGATCTGGGGTGAAGGAACTGTATTTTAGCTTTGTGAGTACCTGTTTAATTTATAGTTTGTTCTCACTAAAAATGAAAGTTCAGAGTATGTGCTGTAGCAGTCCATCTTGATCTGGCAGTGGATCCTTTTGCAAGAAAATAATTTTGATTGAGTGCTTTGCATGTCTTTATTAAAAAGCAGTATCACCTTTTCTTTACAGTACCATTTCCTCAGCCTTTAACTCTCTGGCCACGGTGACAATGGAGGACTTGATTAAGCCCCATTTCCCTGACATGACAGAATACAGGGCCACATTGCTGTCTAAAAGCCTTGGTGAGTGTCTGCTGGGAGATACCTGGAATTTTGAGAAATTTTTGTGTTTTTTCTATTCTTAGTCCTGGAGCACACAAGTATATACTGTAGTGTCCACTTATTAGGCACATTTGACATTACCCCACTAGCACATCAGATCCCAAGCTTCAGTTCCCTTTCCAAAGGAAAACCTCTAAGCAAGCTATTTCTTTTAGCTTAACCAAAATATGCCTTCAATGTTTTTGCTTTTTAATCTAACCACAAATCTGCAACTGTGACATCAAAACAGAAGGAGTAAGAAACTATTAGGTTTCTTATGCTGAAAATGAAAGCGAAGAATGTGGGTTCTTGGGAAATTAAAAGAAAAGGAGCAGAGAGAGTATTATTCCTCGAAGGACTGCATCTGACCAAGAATTTAACAGTGCTTCAGGATGTCAAGATTCAATTTCAGGATACTGCTGGAACTGGTAAGAAAACCAGATGATGAATGTCACACTAAGGTTCATTGCTGTTGGCCAGGGTGAATCTTTCTTGAAACAATCTGAACACAACTTTTCTAGACACAAAGTGGGGCATGGCTAAAGTGTATCACAGGAACCCACTACATTCCAAAAATGACACTAGATGAAGAGAAGCAAAGTGCCTCTGTGTACTGGGCTCGGCCTAGAGAACTACTAGGACTACTTAAACTCCACTGTCTCTCAAGTACAAGAAAGTTTAAGTTGATCATTTGTCCAGGTTTAGCATTATTTCAACAATTTAAAATAAAACAGGACATTTTGCAATGAAAACTACAATTTCTGCAGCAGGGCCAACCTTCTGGGAGTTGTCCATTGCATCTCCTACCTGGTTTATCTTGTGTTCCAATTTTATTTTTACACATTGGTTTTGTGTACCTATGGTTTTCCCAACTGTCATTGGTTAATTGCAATAAACAATGTAGAAAGCAAAAAGTTGTACACCAGAAGATACCCTCTAAGGAAATACATTTTACATGTGCTAGAGCATCATCTTTAATGCACTACATTCTGAAGTGCATTTAAACCTGAGAACTGCACACACTTTTACAGAAGTTATGGGAGTTTATCTAGCTATGTTTTTGAGGCCAATGTTTTGTTCAAAGAGCTGTATTAAGGATTATTTAGAAAATAGGCTGGATGAGATTCAGAGAACAATTAGGTCCTAGCATCGTAGTGGTGACCCACTGACTAGACTAGTGGGTAAGTCTCTTGACTTAATGTGGGTTGTGAATTCATAACTGAGAGTCATATACTGCTACCGCACCCTGAGTTTGGTACTTTACCCTGATTGTTCCAGTCCACCCAGCTGTAGAATAGAGACTTTCATAGACTGATGACCCATCCAGAAGGCATGTCACATACTCACTCTTCACTTACTGTTTTGGGAACCAGAATAAATACTGTACAATGAGCCATTGTGGCTCCAATACAGAAATTACTTATCTAGTTGCCCATGTGGGCATTTGGCCTCATCTTGTTTTGTAACGTTTTATGTTCTTATAAATAAAGAAGCCACTTGGATCAAACTGTATATTAATGACAAATTATACCAAAATATAGTGACATTTCTAAAAATATATAGTAGAAAAGGTATAATTGCATCTTTCACTGTCACTGTTTATTTTCATGTCAATCAAATGTCTATTTCTCCTATTCTTCAGCTATATTTTGAATGATTTTTAATATGAAGAGATATCAAGATGTTTGCTAACTCCACCACAGTTCAGTTGAGTTTGTGTGCCTGATTTCTACCTTCTCAGTAAAACTGTCTAGTGTAGAAGGAACTGAACGTTGTCAGAGGGTACAAGAGAAGTGGGAAAGCAGGTCCTTCTGGGCTTCATTAAGCAAATTTAAAACATGTTTCCAGCAGTACTGGAATAGCCAGCACTCCTCATCCTCAGGGTGAGACACTCTTGGTCCACAGGGTCAAACTGCAGATTCCTAGGGGCTTTATTAAAGTTATTGCACAGCCTTCCAGTTTACTTTACACAGACCTGTCCCCTCTGAGCTACTGGGTTGCCGACTCCACAAGTCAATATATCTTCTTAAAGTTGTCTGTTTCTCTTTTTTCAGCACTAGGGTATGGGCTCATTTGTTTAGGAATGGCCTATATTGCATCCCAGATGGGGTCTGTGTTGCAGGTAAGGTTCACATTAAAGTTGTGAATAGCAGAGTTTATATTAGTAATGTAAAGCAGATGCGATCAGAATGTTGCATGATTGAAGAATATAATCTAAAATCTAATTTTACTGTTTATAGTGTAGGAAACAGTGCAATTTCTGAACATCAAATGTTGTTATAATTTTCTAAATATAAAGGAAGGCTTGGATTAGGTTTCTTTATAAAGACTTTCTGTACGTACCTCACGTGAGATAGTTTCCCATGATTTAATGTAAATTTTCAATTCCAGTTGTGATCTCAGAATTCGGTGGTTGTACTGACCGATTCTCAATTCCCTTTCTTCAAGGCATCACTCAGTATCTTTGGGATGATTGGGGGTCCTCTCCTTGGACTGTTCTGTCTTGGAATGTTCTTCCCCTGGGCTAACCCCACTGTAAGTACCAGAAACTGTGTCACTATATTAACTTTTTCTTTTCTATGTTAAAAAGAATTATGGCTCTAGATGAGATTGCTATAACATACAACTTGTTGGAGCTTCTAATCTCACTATTCAGTTTTTCAGATCTCGGCTACTATAAACATAACCAGCCACAGTCCCACATGAGTATTACTCCTGTTCCAGCCTCCCTGAACTAGCTCCCACCATATTGGATTTACTTCATATTTATTCTCCTGACCTCCAAAACTATTATGCTCTATTTTGAAAGCTCTACTCTTTAATTTATGGCTTGTCATGTATCCCCATAGCAAGATGCCACACACCGGTTGGTAAGGTAGTAAGACAGAAATAAACCTCAACTGTGGCTCTCTTGACTGCTATTCTCTATAGTGCTATAGCTGCTATAGCTAGCACTTTCTATGTTTCATTACAGAAATGCTGTTTTTTCTGTCTTGATGTATCTTTTCTGCTTATGTGGTGTCACTTTATTGTCAAGTGCTTTGGGATATCCTGAAAGGCACTATATACAATTATTATTATTATTATTACTCACAGCAGGGAACACACGCAGAGAAGCCAAACACTGATTGTGTGATGATCATAGGTAATGTAAAAGTTGCAATATCTGATAAAGAAACCATTGCATACACCAAAAAGCTTTCCTCAATTGACAGTATTGCTACATAAGAAAATATAGTCCCACTTGAGATCTTATATATGGTCTTAAATAGATCTGATAGACAGAACGTAAGAATGGTCTGCAAATGATAGGGAACCATTCGGACCATCTTGCCCGTGTAGTGGTTTGGTAGCTGAGTGCATCTGCAATTTCATCCTGACATTTCTTAAAGGGGTCCAGAGATTGGGCCTCAACAACCTGGCCAGGAAGCCTGTTCTTGATACCTCCTGCAGTTTGAGGAAAGAAATGTTTCCTGTTCATCCTAGATCCTCCTTTTTCCAAGTGTGACCTCATGTCCCCTCGCTGCTGAGTGTGAAACAGTCCCATGGGTTGAACCTATCTATAAACCTTAGGAATTTAAATAAAAGGATGAATGATCCTCTCAGTCTCATCTGTTCTAGATTGAAGAGATGTAGTTCCCTCAAACTATTCATATATGACAATTCCCTGAGAGCTGGGTTCATTTTTGTTTCTCTTCTTTTTACTCTTTATAGAGACATATCGTTTTTTTCAGTGGCATGGTGACCAAAACTGAACACAGTATACCAAACTACTGTATACAAATTTTTATTATTCTATTGTAGAGTTCATGCACTTCCTAGGATTTAAATTCCACACTTCCTGAACACTTCATTGTCTGACAGCTTGCACTGTCAGCATTTTGCAAAGTTTGGAAGAGAATGCATTGGTCAAACTACCCAATGAAAGCTACTTGAATTATTCAGTATATCAGATTTGATATACTCTGTAGTTTGTTTTTCTGGACTTCTGGACATACTCTGTAGAAAATATACAGTAACTGAGTCAATCAAATTGCAACAAATGCTATTGGTACCAATACTAATATGTTGCAGGTGAATGACTCTCAGTATAATAAACAGTAGACTAGTCCATTATGAAAAAAGAGGGTGTTCATAATAGTAATAATTCCTTGCACTTTCATCTAATTCTAAAGCACTTTACATTTAGGAGGAGTTTTAGAGTACAAGTCAAACAACCATTTTAGTTGCAGGCAATAAGACTGCTAAACAGCCAACCTGCAGCTCCTTTAGCAAATCACCTGTAATGGCTACATGGACCCACAGATGTCACTGTATTCAGCATAACTGCATTACTTGTATATACTGCATACACCATGGACACATAGCAGCTCTACTCATATTGAGTTTTATTCAATTTCTATTACATTTACTATTATGTAACCTTATTTTCATAACCTCAGTTTTGTGATTTGTGAGATTTTTGTGATTCTTGTGATTCTTGTGAGCTCGCGGTAAAAGACATTTCAATGCCACCAACTACTGCTGCATGCTGTATTGTTGTGCATTTGATAAATAAACTTTGATTTGATTTTGATTTGATTTGACTTGAGTGATAAGATCACTTTATTGGCCATATACAATTTCTTGTATTAGGAATGTGTCTTTTCACATACCCCAACTTGCTCTCCATGAGACACACAGACAGGGAGATAAGCTTGGGGTCCGAGAACAGGGTCAGCCATTTATACAGCACCCCTGGTGCAATTGGGGTTAAAGTGCTTGCCCAGGGGCCCAACAGAGTAGGATTCCTCTGCCGGCCACGGGATACAAACCAGCAACCTTCCAGCCACAGGTGCAAATCCTTAGCCACAGAGCCACCACACCACCCAGGTCAGAGTTGTCATTGAATCTGGCAAAGTGGCAGTTATGCTGAATAGATTTAGTTAGTCTGTAAAACATACTTAACAGATCGTTAATTTGCACTACAGTGTAAATTGCAACTGCTTGAAATTTGGGAATTTTCACATGGGATTGTATTTTTAAGTAGGAGGTGTTTGCCCTTTATTTGGATTGAGTAGGCCAGGTGAAAGTGGATGGAGGTAGCCTACCCACTGCAGCTGACAGGGTATTTTCTCATGGTTCTGTAAGAGAGTCAGAGATGACTAGGTTTTGTTTATTTTCTTCCATCATCATCATAAAGCTAGGTAATTTTGCCATTCATGTGCAAAAATCTCCAAAAGGCCATTCTAAAGTGGGGATCTTTCACATGTGAGCCAGCCCTGCCTACTACATCAGCAGGATCTGAACAGAGACATCTTTGAAAGGACTTAAAGCATTCAATTTCCTCTTGAATGTCACCCTGTAGTAAGCACTCACACATGAATTTATGACTGTGTTCATTTGTCCATCCATTTCTGTTCATTTTTCAGTTTATAATAAGTACTTTCAGTTGATTCTGCAATGTTGACAATAAACACCTTTCCTGTCTCTTCTCCAGGGTGCTGTCACTGGCTTGGTGGCCGGCCTGGTCATGGCCTTCTGGATTGGCATCGGGAGCTTTGTGTCTCAGACTGTTGGCTCTGACCCCCTCCCTCCACTCAACACCACAGCCCTCCCAGACACTGGGAATATGACCACCGTCGCCATGACTACACTGGTGTCTGCCGTCGCCAACAAAGCAAGGCAAGAGGAGCATAAAGTTACATAAGATGAGGCCTGGCTTTTCCACTAATAATAATTAATAAAACATACACTTTATCTTAATGATTACTTAAAGCTTAGTTTTGAAATATAAGAAGTATAAAGCCAGGGACAAAATATTCTTCTGTTGCTACAAAGTAAACTTTGTAGACATAGAGGTTATTATGATTTCAGTGCCATAGTCTGAGTTTGAGGCAAGACCTTGAAAGTTAAAAGTAAAATGTTATGGGAGTGATGATATACTATACTGTATCTGTAGGTACAGCTTTCCTTGAAAAAAGAAAACAGATGGTCTGCTATTGAGGTATAACCTCCTTATTGATACCTTCAGTATAAGATAGTTAGCTGATATTTTGGCATCACTAAATGCATAACTACCTGAGTGAGAAGGAGTGTTTCTTTGTAAAACAGAATAATAGGTTTTGTGTTCGTTTTTTGAAGAAACAGTGCACTAGTATTCCAATAACAATGTAAAGCTGTGATAGCTGATACATATTCCTTTAAAGTGTTTTAAACATTGTTTAGGAGTTAAGGACCTTGAGCCAGTTAGAAATCACATTGCCCCTAAGATATAGCTCTCTTTAAACTATCTAGGTCAGATTATACTTCCCTGTAAAAGTACTTTAGAGAAGATCCTGTTTGTGATTAGGTCATGACCAAATTGGTTAGGGGATACAGTAGGAAAGGAATCAGGTCACAGAAGGTGAAAATCAAAATTAAAATTGTTCCTAGCTGCTACTTTCACTTTTTTTTTTGCTCCTTGTGAAGAAAATGTTACAGTTGAAATTAATTCAAGCCATAATGAGAAGTCATTTTACTTACTGTAGTAATGTAATGTGCTAAGCAATGAACAGGATTTGTGTTCCATCTGAAATATTCGCCTGTCTTTCTGCAGACCGACGGGACTACAGCACTTCTATTCTCTGTCTTACATGTGGTACAGTGCGCACAACTCCACCACAGTGGTAATAGTGGGGCTGCTGGTCAGTTTCCTCACAGGTGAGTGCTGTTTGCTATGACTTGTGTCTAGCCACACACTCTGAACACAGGAATTTGTTGTTAAAGGCCACATTTAGTCAATATACAGTACCAGTCAAAAGTTTGAGTACACCTCCTTGAAACCAGGTTTTTCATGATTATCTGTGCTTTAAACTGTATAAACTTAAACTGTCTATGAACACTTAATATTTAATTATATGATATATGTACTTATAATCTTAAGTGAACTGTATTGAAAATGTTAATTTTTCATTTTCAATAAAATGAACACCCAAAGCAAGTGGATTTCAGCCTGAAGCCCAGGTTAGTTAAAAGTCAGAAAGGTGTATAACATGGTGTTAGAACACTTAAAGAAGTTTAAAATTGTCTTTGTTAGATGTTCTCACAGTTAACAAAGCATGCTTCCTCATTTACCTTTTGTCACCAATTATTGGTAAACAGGTGAGGGTCCACGATTACTATAAATGTAGGGAGCATGGGCAAAAGTTTGTCATTCCTGAATGTACATGGCAAAATTTGCTCAGATAGGAAAGGAAAAAAGACAGTCTATACTTACAGTACTTTAAGAAATGAAGGTCAATCTTTAAGAATTGCAAGAACTTTGCAAGTGTCAGTAAATGCTGTGGCCAAAACTATCAAATGATATGAAGAAACAGGCACTCATGAGGACCGAAAAATGTCAGGCAGGCCAAAGGTGTCCTCAGAATTAGAGATTAGGATCACAGAAGCTCACAATATAAGTGTGTTATGAGAATCACCAGATCTTATTTTTTTTCAATTCCGAAAAAGTTTTTTTCACAGTAGCACAGCAGATTTGTAAGGGAACAAAAACGATTTATACTGGATTCGTTTAAGAATGTACAGACTTCTCTTGAAGTTATGGAATCTTAGACATCCATGGTAAAAATGTAGCCTCAATAATAATTACTGTCAGTGTGTTCAAATTATTAGGTATATTAATTAGTGTTACTGCCAGGACAGCCAATACTTAAAGTGTGAATTTGGGCTTTTGCTTCTTCGTAAGTGGTGAAACTGTTTGAAATGATCTACTGTAGATGGTTGCTTAGAAATTTAGTTCCAAAAGATGGGATTCCTTGACAAGAATATCACTGAAAGGCAGTTCCAATTCCTCCAGTTTTTAAAGGCTTGCAAGAAAATAGGTGTATGCTACTGTTTGAAACATTTGTTGTTGAACTCCTCTCTCTTGTTTAATGAGCGACTATGATAATAAAAGTCTAATTTGTGAAATATGAGCGCTGACAGTGCTAAAATACTGACATAGTTTCAGTGAATATGTATCCCTGTAATAATTATACACATGTAGTTTCTTACCAAGTTGTGACACTGCTGGTGAGATGGTAAAGTAGGAGGTATCTTTTAATAGGTGTAAACGTAAAGAAGGGACATTAATCTTTGTTTATTGTGTGGCAAATCTCCAAACAAAGCAAACCAAAACTCGAGCTCCTCTTTGAACTCTAAAGTTCTTTTTCTCTTAACCTCTCTAGACATAACTGGACAGATAAGCTGCTTACTGCAACTAAAACTAAAAACTATCCACAGTTCATTTGTCAGTTATTTTTATGCTCCCTTCTCCCTCCAGCGCACAGCATAACAAAGGCTCTGCTCCCATCCTAGTTAGCTGAGGTCAGCTGCCACTAGAAACCACTTGTCTTTGATCCAGTTGTCATCCTCCAATTAGAAGACTGTGGGTGGCAGGTCCTTGACTACAGCCTCCTGGGAAATGTAGTTCAGGAAGGATCTGGCATCTTGTCTGAATCTGCTGTTCATTCAGAGTTCATACTAATAGTACATGAGTATGCATGTATTCATAATATTCCACATTGATTCATATTATTTTTCTTGTTAATCATTCATTTATAGTGACTTATTTAAAAATTACCGTCCCATAATGGAGGGACACCACACATTCCAGGATTACTGCTAAAAACTGTTCACAATATCTGATCTTTAAAAATTTGCCAAATTTAAGTTAACATTACATAATTGCCTGGCTCATGTCCTTGCATGCAGGTCCCATGAAGGAGAAAGATGTGACTCCTGGCACGATATACCCAGTGTTGGGCACCCTACTGTTCTTCTTACCGGAGCGGTACAGAGAGAAGCTGTGCTGTGTTACCACGCTGGAACGAAGGGTAGGGCTCTGGGAAGTGACTGCAGGAGGGTGAGCGGTGTGTTTTATCAGAAACTCACTTTCAGGCTCCCAATCCTGGTCCTGATTCCCCTGATTTTCCAAGAAAACGTCTATTCTCAGCCTGTTCAAATATACTTATGAGCTGTGTGGACACCGTTATCGGCAACTGAGTTCTTTTCTACCTTTTTGATGCAGCATTTACACACATTACCACTTAATCATTAATTTTGTTGTGTTTAACTACACAAAGTTAAAAGCATGCCAGGAAGAATAAGTAGCTTAACAAGATTACAAGATTTGAAAATTCCTTGTTTCAAAAATGTGTCTTGAATATTAACAATTTGAGTGGTTTTAGTTATTCAAACATACCTGAGCAACCTTTCTTTTCAGGAGTCTCCATTATGCATTATCCTCACACACATTGTACAGACATTTGTGTATAGGCTGCTTTTGTACATATTCTGTCAGCTGTCACTAAGAAAGCCCTCTCTGGGAATCAGCTGTTGAGAAATCACATAGAACTGCGTTTTAGGAAACCAGACACATCTGCGGTTTGTTTTTCTGTGCTGCAGGCCAGTGAGCCCAGCGCCCAGCAGCAGCTGATGACACAGAAGACGAGCAATGGCAATGCGTTCTGTACCAATGAAGACAAGGCCGAGGACGAAGACCTGGAGAGGCGCTTGGGGCCAGTGTGTCACTACACTTATATCGTGCATGAGACTGCCCTATGAGGCTGGCCAGGCCCTCACTGTCTTGCAGGGAGCTCTTTGAATCAGCAATGAAAACTCTACTGTGAGCCCAGAAAGGACAGAGCTGCAGGGTGGAATGCTACAAGAAGATCTTGTCCACCTTTCACATACTTTCAACTTTCTCCTTTCTGGGAGATATCAAATACTGTCTAAAGGGGAATGCTGGAATAGAGATTCCCATATACTGTACCTGAGGTGAGAAGGACTTCTTAATCAGAAGTGGCTGAGCCATTATTCTTACCGTGCTTGAAAAACAATTCAGTATGAGGCATCTGGCCCTTCCTTTTCAGTGTAGTGTTTTACATTTCTTTTGATGAGCCTGAGTGTATGGCGCAAAGATGAAAGAAGAATAGCTTGAAAGAAATAGCAACTACAATTTTCCCTTTCTAGCTTCGCGGTCGGTAATGCTAAATGCTGCTGCAGTGGCATTGTCCACTGAACAAGAAAGCACAACAAGCAATGTCCCCATCTTAGGAGGGTCTAATTAATGAAGCAGTAGAAATGAGATCTGAAGACAGAGATACTACACCCCCTTTCAGAGATGATATGGCAATAGCTTGAATTGCTTCCAACTTCAAAAACAAAACCATCACTTATGTGTACAGGTAGGCGTAGTGGTCTGCATCACATCTGTAGATAGGAGACAGCTGAGTAATGGTGTTCTGTGTTATGGTGCATGGAATGTCTTTTTTCACTGTGAGAAAATCATCAAGACCCAGCATCCAAGGGATGCTTGAGGTACTGTACTATTAAACCTCTTTCATGCCATTATCTGGCACTGAGGGACTGTGTCTTTTTAAAGAATACCAGCTTCTCATTACTGTACCTTACCATTTAGAGCTAATAGGTGAAAACTAGTTAAAACAATACTACATATACTACTCCATGTATTTCTGTCATGATTATTACCAAATGTCAGTGTCATTCCCACGGTAAATGTTTTAATTCCAAAGGACCTTCATTATGGGTTTTTTATCTGTAACACAAATATAGATCCACATTTTCTTTATGATAAACCATGAACATGGTTCTTTTGCTGTGCCAAATGATGAAGTTAAACTAATTGAATTGTTCAGGTCTTCCTGAATTGCCATATAACACTTGAACAAATGAGTGTTTTTCAAGAAAATGTTTTTTTTCAAGGAAATTTTATATTGCCTATGGAAACACCAGTTTCAGACCGTCACGTAATGTGCTTTAAAATATCCAACTGGATAAGGTGGCCAATGTTCTTAGTCTATTTCTGGTAGCTTCTTAAGCAGGAAACTTCATATTTCATAACTTGGTGTATCTTAGAAAATACTTTTGAATCTGCTTCTATAATACGGCTTGTTCCAAATACTCAAAGCTCACTGTGTTAAAAAGTGCCTCTCATTTCTAGTACATGTCTGTCCATTTACAGAAGTGAAAATGAAACAAATTTAGTTTCTGTTACCTCTTCCTTGAACAAAACTGACAGGTTTTGAAATTTTCACGAAATGTCACAATTTTCACAAAAGTAAGATCTAGCAATTGCATCCTGTTAAGACAATCTTCTTAATCACTCTGTACTTGGTACTTCTGTATCACTCAACAGCCTCTATACAGGTGTGATTTCCATGTTTTTGTTGAAAGCATGTTTTAGTATCCTTGCATAGCCAGGATATCACTTGCACACTGCAGATTATGTGCATTTCTTCTGCATGCAATTTTCATCACTAGCCATACCTTGAATATTCATTCATTATAGAATTATTCCTGGAGATTTACATTCTTGGAATGTGTCTAGGTTTTCAACATTATAGACTAATTGAGACATTTGTTGTCTTGCTTCCTGTTAGTGGTTTGTGTGCTTCCGTACTATAGACAGAAGATTTTAGTGATGTTTCAGTATCTCTTCTGCTTTTGATTGGTCAGTGTAATTCTGCGTGTCTATGTTGGTGCTCTGTGCTATGTATTGTGTTGGCAAGATTTGCCTCCATGGAAAAAACAAACATTTCTCTAAAGCAACAAAGTGATCATTTCTAAATATTGACTTCAGGTTTCCTTCTATATGAAATTCATTCATTCATGAAAGTCAAAATCTAATCATTTTGAGAGAGATCTTTTGTGACAACAGCTTGTATCCAGTTTATGTTTTTATTACATACAGTAGACTAAGTATTATGTGCTACAAAAAAGGACCAGTTCATTTTTCTTTTCTTTTGTACCTGAGATTACTTGAAAATGTAAGGTGGTCTATTTAACTGCCTGGAGAACTTGAAAGAGTCTGCTGGCTTAACTGAAGATTTAGAGTAAATGTGTATACGTTTTTTAAAGAAGTAAAAAAACTCTTATTTAGAAAAAAAGGAAATTGTTGTAAAGGCATTGTGATATTTGCACTTATAAAAACACTATGAAGGGTAAGGGGATTTTTCCTGTCAAGAAAAGAGAAATTAAACCAGATCATCTTGTGCTGCAAATCACTAATGCAGAACCGAATCAGTAAATCAGTGCTGGATGCTTGAATTAGTCAAAAGATAGAGAAAGTGTGTAATTTAAAAATAAAAATGTCATATTTGGTATATCATGAGTGGTGTAAATGAATTAGGAGGATGATGCTGTGGTGAGAAACCTGCCTAAAACTTTTTTTTCTTGGTTAATCAAAAATGGAATTTACTGGTTAGTAATCAGTGATTTGTCGCAAATGATATGGAGTTAAATAATATGTGATGTTGCCCTACTTAACATTCCAAACAAATGCTAGTTGTTTTATCTAGCATTTCCCCATTCTATGAAAAAGTGCCTTTGTTTGACTTTTTGCTTGTTTTGTAGTTTTGGAGCCACTCAAAAGAAATGTTACTGAAATTTAGCCAAATTATTAAATTTATTTATTTTCAGGAGGCATGGTTCCTTAGAGTCCACAACAATGTGTGCTGGGCTTTGTGCTCTGTCCAAAGTCCAATCTTCAAAATTGTTGCACAGTTGCACAGCCAGAGCAGTTTTCTAGACACTGTGGGTCAGCTGACGTCTTTGTAGTTGATCTGTGCGTCTATATTTAGAGTGTTACATCTTATTGAATTGGCTAGTAAATACCCAAACAGCGATGATGGCTCTAAAATGTTGACCTGACTAGGTCACATGGCTAAATCTGATGTACAGAAATCCACAGATGGTCTTGGGTCATTTTACCTGTAAGGCAAAAGGAGTGCTTTTCAAAACAAACAAAAAATCAATGTATAAATTGCTTCAAGATTTTGTCTGATAGTGCTTTCAAAATAAAGTGTTTAAATATCTTGGCTTTGGGTTATGTTACTGTTCGATTCAATTTTCAGTTCCATTTCATTGCATCTCTTTACACAATGTACCCCCAACTTCGTGTACAGCTCAACTCACATGTTGGACAACAAACGTACATTCTGTTTCTTACAACTAGTCTGTTTGGTAAGTAGTGTGTGACAAGGAAACACAAAGTAAGGACCTTGTGTCATGGCATTCTGTGTTAGGTATTGAAGGTGCTTCTAAAGTTAGATGACCTAAGCTTGGTTCCCAAGGACATGACCTTTGATAATATACACCACAGAACATAGACATCACCGATGATCACCCAAGAATGCATACAAGCTACATTGGACACAAATGATGATCACACTGAGCTGTTGTTCCACCAAATGATGTGTACTATCATCACCCATCAGAGCCTACCACCATGTTTCCATCTGCATGTGCACCAAATTTAACTGCATCACAGTGCACAGATTTTATAGTACTGGTGCCAACCAACTTAATAATTGTCTTGTGTGTTGAATAAAGAACATGTATATAGAAGAAAGGAACAATTAATAGGTTTATTCCATGCTGAAAAAAAGAAGAAAGAGAACACAACGTTTCGGCCGTGGAGCCTTCTTCAGGTGTGAATATAGAAGTACAGCAATGTGGCAGCACAAATACTGCAGTTCATTTAGTGACACCTTGGGTATTTATTGAACATCATCAATTTATGGCCACAGTTTAAATTCAGAATGCATTGGAAGTCCAATTCTCCTGCCTGAGATGTATAGTATCAGTTTTTACTCTCCTCTCTATTCCAGCGAGTTTCAATACCCATAGATCTAGTATGTCATTAATATCACTGGCTATTATTAGACCAAGCTGTGACAAAGCCTGGAAGAAAACTAGGAAAAAGGTAATGACAGTTTTTAATGGTGCTTTATCCGAACACTTTTAAAAGTTTCTGTGTCAAAGTACATCACTTTTTGTTCATGTATTTTTTTTTGTATCGGCCCTACAGTTTAAGGAATCATTCTTGATGTTGTTGTAGAGTAGAGAGAAGTAAAGTGGAGCAGCATTTAGGGTTCTGTATCCATAACTAGGAAGTAAAGAGTTCAAGTGCCAGGTGAGACACTGTTGTTGTACCTTTGAGCAAGGTACTTCCTCCTCATTGCTCCAGTAAAATACTGTATACATGGAGGCAAATATAATTTGAGCCAAATAAAAAAAATATATATTAGTACCTATATAAATATTCAGTTAAGAGTATTTACAGCAAAGGGAGAAAATAAATTGGTATTCAACAGGACAAATGCTGTTTGCTGTATAACATGATATCCTTTGAAATTTGCATCAAGATTTGATGAGAAGTGCTTCAATAACTTTCACAGATGACTTTTCCTAACTGTTGCATATCACAAAGTACTTAGTTACAGCTCCCTCACTGCTCGGACAATTCGGTCTGCTCTTCCAAAACCAAGAAGCTTTAGATATGTTTGTGGTGTTGATTTTATGCCAAGCCTCACGGTACCTCAATATTTCCATCTGTAAATTGAAATGGTTTTATGTAGTCAGATTGGCTGACATAAGAAGAGCACCACTGAAAAATCCATGTTGGCATATTCTGAAAAAGATGGAAGCTTTAACTTCTTCAGACACTCATTTCCTAGTTCATATCATTGATGACTATTTTTAAAAGAATTACTCGCTAATTGATAAAGGATGTGGAGGCTGAAGAATGAAATGCAAGGTTTTGCAAACCTCGACAAACCATTGGCGACAGTAGTCAAGGATTCCTTTTTACTGAGCAAGGAATTACAAGAAGCTATGACACAGGGAAATGGGTGGGATTTTTCTGGAAACCTTTCCATCACCATTTCCCATGTTCTCCCTATTCCTTTTTTTAATTCATAACTCATCTCTCTGTCTTTATACTCCCCTGGGAAGACGTTTATCAGCACGGGCAAACACATGATCCCTTTCTGGGTCTTTGTGGGTTTTTTTCCCAAACAGTTACAGCCAGGTCATGCTGCTCCTCCATTCCCTTGGCCATCTTCAGGACTCTTGGCTCCAGTCACTGAGACACACTGTACTTCTTTATCAACAGCACAGTCTGGCATCATTGGTGGTCAGTTTAACAAGTATAATGCCTTTACTTTAACTCTAAAACTACCAAAGCAGTATTTTTGATGACCTATTGTTTTGTGTATTTGTGTACTAGGAGCCTTCTTCCCTAACCACAAGTTCTATTCAGCTCCCAAAAACACACACTAGTATTGTTCAAGTGCCCTTTTTATTTTCTAATGATTACAACATTTAACACTACCCAACATCCAGAGCACATTATACAAAAACTCCAAAGGACACCTGGCCAGCACAAGTACCCCATTGGAGCCAAGTTACCAAACCCAGATGCGACAGAGGAACAGTCCAGCACTATTATTCTCCAGAACCTGTTCTGGTCAGTAATTTAGCGTGCCTCCTTAAGCAAAGAAACAGTGAAGACTTCTGTCCATTTATTTAACACTTACAGATCTGTGCACTTCAACCAAAAGAATGTGTGAGTGCATTGTAAAGCTCAGAGTCAAGGGAAGCGAATGAGTGTACCTGACTTCATGATAAAAAAGGTCACTTCAAAGTAATGTAAAGCCTCTGGCAAAAAAAAAAACAGCCACATCAGTAAAGATATTATTGCAAGTCTAATAATAATAATTCCTAACACTTTTATAGCATTTTTCTGGACACTCCACTCAAAGTGCTTTCCAGTAATGGGGACTCCCCTCCATCACCACCTGGATGATGCAATGACAGCCATAGTGCGCCAGAACGCTTACCACACATCAGCTATTAGTGGGGAGGAGAACAGAGTAATGAAGCCAATTCATAGATGGGGATTTTTAGGAGTGCCAAGGGGAAATTTGGCCAGGATGTTTGGGTAACTCCCCTACTCTTTTTGAGAAACACCCTGTGATTTCTGATGACCACAGAGAATCAGGACTAATGATATCAGCACCAATCTCAAACCACCCCAAATACCATTTGTAGTTATAGTTTTTCAGAGGCTTGCCAATCCCTCAGTCCCTCAGTTTTCATTTCTCAACTTCTAAAGCAGATCCCTCTTAGCCAGTTTGTCTTCAGTTACTGTTTAAGCACAGCAAACAAGTTAAATGCTGTATTCACTAGAAAACAAACAGGGCACTTAGCCAAAGCTAGTGTGTGATTCTGGGAGTTGAATAGAACCTGTGGTGGGTGAAGAAGGCTCGTAGCATCAGTGATAACTTCTAGGTGTTGTAGTCATGTAAAACACAAAAGTAGCCCCTGCATTTAGGGGTCACAATTCTGGGTGGCATCTCCTGTCCCTCATCCTCCATCTGTGCCTCCCCAGCCTGTCCTGTTTGTCCTCACGCACCCTTTAAAACTAGGAGCGAAGCTGTTGCTTCAGTAAGATTTAAATGAATTGGATAGTGTCCAAACAAAGATTATAATGAGTTGAAAACAAAAAAAGTTTCTTGAATTCTAAATAAAGGAAAAACCAGACTTACTGGCAGAAGTGATTATATCCATGTATGATAAGGGAAATCTTTTTTTTTATTTCAATTTTTCTTCCAGTTGCAATGTCAGCTGAGGGCACGGACTATGTAGGCAAATAGGCAAGAAACCCAAGTTCTGATATTTGGCCAGTAAGTGAACTTAGTAATAGTTACTGAATACTAGGCCTAGGACACTGGGCCAAAACCTAGATAGACCATACTTAGAGCTCATTTGAGGCTTTCCCAGTACAGATCAGTGTTTGGATCTGGGGAAAAAACCCAGATACATGTAATTATCCCTTCCAATTGCTCTCATTTTGAAGAGCTTGTTTTGCATTTGTGTTTATCTGAGAAATGTTTTCCAGTGAAGTCAACCCAAGTGCAAATATTCTGATATAATTTCTATTTGGACAATGCCACTCCCCTGTAGTTGATCAACATTATGGAGTTGTTAAACTTATTGAATACAAGTTGTAGCAAAAGAAGAGCTAAGCACAGATGACTGCTGAGGAACTGATTTACTTCATGAGGAATTCTGTTTTTTAGGGGAAGATTAGTGTGCTTTTTTCCTTTTAATTGTGAGTGGTGATATACAGTAATATTACATAACTTTCTTTGTGGAATTACAAAAATAATAAAATAAGTTCTAAGTGCCCCTTATATATTTGGAGATATATTTACTGGCTAAAAAATACTTATTCTTCAAATCCTTCTTATTGGAGAGGCTTGAATAACATTGCTGTTTCCAGCTGAGAATCAGGTTAGTCTCCCAGTGTCACTAACTTATGAATTTCTCAGGGCCTTATTGAAATACACTCTAGACATTCTAGACACTGTTCTGATAATTTGTTTACTGTGTTCCTCAGTTGGGTTATTAATAGCACCAATAGATAGAGAATAGATAGATAATACGTTATTAATCCTGTAGGGAAATTGATGAAATAGTTATTAATGGTATTAATAACACCAAGTGTAGGGTCTGATCTATGTCTGGTACCACAGGAAAAGGTTGGCAATCTTGTTTGTTTCATTAACTATCCTTAGCTGTGCATTTACAGGGAGTCAAAATGATCAGTATTCCAGTTTAGTCACTATTATCAATCACACCCTCTTCAACTGATATTAAGTGCAATAATTGCTTGTCAAGACTCATCAACTCTATTTAAGCATTGCTTAAACTAAAGACCAGTTTTCTAAATCCATGTCTTTTCCCTTAGTAACCTCTGTATTAGCAGTAATGCCCTTAGAGGTCTCTTTTTAAAAAAATAAGAACAGGCATGCTTATCAGGCTGCCAGACAGATTTATGGAGTTAGCCTTGAGTGCAGTACATTTCACTATGGAGCAGAGCCCATGTTGCTCAAACTGGAGAAAAATAGCAGCCATTAGGTCACATGGCTTAACCCCACAGTGTGTCCTGCCAAAGAAGCTGTCTTTCCCACTGCCTGCACACAGGTGCTCTCACTTGACTTGTGGAGCAGGATTCAGCCCATTTACCAGTTATTATCATTGACACAGACCTGCCAGTCTGACTGGATTTTGTGCTTCACAATTTGTGTTAACATTTTATTTGATTTAGTTATTAATACACATTAAGAGCTGTATGTTTTTAAACACTCTGTCCCACGTATTCATACATTTTCCTGTCCCACAAAATAATCTAACAAAAGAAGCTAACATTTTATCACATATGGTATGGCTTTAAGAGCTGTCATAGTATTCAATTCAAAATGGAACTCTTAATTGTTTATTTAGTTTTTGACCTTGTGTTCAGCTTAGTATTGTTAATGTCTTTTTAACAATACTAAGGCTGAATCCTGCTTTTTAATATCATTATTTAATGTGCCAAAGACAGACCTCTGTTTTGTCAAATTCTTTCATGGCTGAAAATTTTTTAAATATTTTAAATACAAGTTGCCAGTATTATTTACCAGTATCAGTATCATGTTTTTATTATCTTCTTTTAAAAACATAATTTTTTCATAAATAAATAACCAACACTAAAATGTACATTTCGCACAAGAAACATTTCCCTAGTTTTCCAAGAAACGAAGTGAGACAAAAATTACATTTCATTAGTTATTTTACTGTATGGCTTTCTTTTCAGTAACATGAGCATAAGGGTGTTATATTAATTTCAAAGGCTGAGATTTTGCTTAGGCAATATTCAGAAATGCATTTCTTCTTTCCACAAAGCAAGGCACTTGAAATGAAATGAAGAAAACAGAGAAACTAGAATGTCTTGTTAATAAAACAGTACTTTCAAAGTGCACAAATCTGTCCAGCGAGGCATAGGTCTTAAAAAAAATCAGGATTCCTTAACCTTCGGCAAAACTGCTTATTACAGAGAGAAAAGTGTGCCAAAAGTACACATAACATGCCTCCCTACGCATTTATCTTTGAAAAGATTTATGGTTGTAGAGTCTAAAACCAGAGCATCCAAACACAAGCGAAATCTACTCCTGATAAAGATTCAACAAAAATTGGCCAAGCAGAAAACTTTTGGTTTTAATTATACAGCATGTTTATAACTCAGTGGCCGACAACAAGCCAGTAAACGAATAACATACTGAAGAGCAACACAAACCAAAAGTACAGTTAGTATTTTTATCATATCATGAGTGCATTTCTACTCTGAAAAATACTACCCTCATCACCGTTTCATCAAGATGTATTTCACAATACATGTGAAGTTGGTATGTACAGCACATCCTTAACCTCCTAAACTAAGTTTTCTTTGTAATGGAGGACTCCATGTCCAATCATCTACTGCTCATTTAAGGAAATGGAGAAAGAAACTACAAGAGAGCAGGAAACTCATCTTTTGGCCAAACGCTGAACACATCATTGGAACTTTACTCAAGTAACCCTCAGGTTTCGCATATTTTGCCAGCAGTATTAGTAAACACATGTAACCAGCTCATGCCCTGGAATGACTTCAGCCCACCTGGGTCTAGGGAAGAGCAGGATCTAAAAGAGTTCTCTATAGAGGGCAAAGAAAGGAATCCCAATCAAAGAACCGATTACTGCATTAATCATTACCATCTATCCATCATCGGAAACCTGCTTCTTCCTGGCAAGGTGAACAGCTTATATCTGGAATTTATCCAGGAGGTACTGGACCCAAAAGTGGAACCAGTCCCAAACTATGAGTGGGACAACATCCATTGAAATTACCAGGCCAATTTCAAATTAACCTAATCTGCATTTCTTGTGGGGAGGAAGCATGAGGACCTGGAGAGAGCCCATGTGAGAGCATGCAAATGGCCTAGTCTGGAATCAAACCTCAGCTCCAGGATTTACAAGGCAGCAGAGTGACATGCCCCACCCCTGCGCCTCCCATTGCAATCCGTCTGGAGCACAAAGGGTGACAAGAACATGGAATCAGGAGACACACCACTTTAGTTATGACTTCAATGTCTGGTCAGCTAATTTTAATTAAGCCATTAATCTGCATTGTTAATTCATGTCGATTACAGCTGGGTACTTGAAGCTATTCAAAAGGATTAGCTAAGATTGTTTTTTGCAAACTAAAGATTGTTTTTGCAAACTAAAAAAAGCATTGTAAATAGATTATTCGGTGCCAAGTGTGCTTAGAACAGCATGAATACCTTTTCTAAAATCCTTACTAAGTAGGTATTAATACTCCAGCCCCGTATTACATATGACTCCACACTTATTTACATGGCAACTCATACACTTCTCAAATTTGTAGTAACCTATCCTTTGTGTCATCATTCTGGAAGTAACAGAAATCTCACAAACAGGCAAAAAGAACACAATCTCTTCATTCTTGTGCTGAAATTAGGGAGGAATTTGATAAAAGTATTTTAAATCTTGAATGGTATTCACAAACTTAATCCAATGGATTACTCTACATTAACTAACTTCTAATTGTGCCCTTGTGTTCACTGCTGACCATAAAATAACCCATTGGTTTGGTTTAAATACACCGTGGAGGAAGAGTATATATAAGACTGAAACATATATAAGGCTGAACTGTCAGTTAATGACTGGATGAGATCCTTAGGTCAATAAATCACCAGCACGAAGGTTCATGACTGATAGGCTCCTGTTTATAACCTTTTTATATTCTTGTTTATAAAAATGTGAGGAGAAATATTTGTTTCAGAAATTAAAAAGAAGCAGCTGACAAAAAATGCACCAAATGCTGTTACTACCTCGGCACAGTCTTTCTGAATAATTCCAAAAAATAAAGCGGGTATAAATACTGTGATTATAATATGAAGATGTCTTCATCAAAGCCAGATAGTCAAAAAGATTGCTTATGGTATAGGATGTGACCCAGGGTCAGGGGGTTGTAAGCAAACATCTTCTTCTCCAGAGCACTCCTTCTGACTTGTTTGGACCACCGTCAATAATTCTTCCATGCTCCCACAGTACAGGAGAGACCTCATGGGCCACTTCTGCAAAGCGAAAAGCACCAGATGATAATTTCTTTACATGAACATGAAATAGGTCTTTAGCAAAAAACAGATTGGTTTCATGCTGTATTCAGCTAACAGAACAGCAAAGAAGAAGTTAAGAGACTTTCCCCGAGTGTAATGTTATGAGCACGGCAATATACTCCAAATAAAACTAAAATCCAGGTGACCACATGCCTGCATGAAGATGAGAGAAACATCTGAACAACTAAAGTTTCTGAAGATATAGTTGGAAACTTAAACACTCACTACTTCACACTACTCACATTCCGCACAAAGGTTGAATAAGATAGAAATGTCACATGTGGAAAAATATTAATGTACAGTAGTTAAGAAAATTTGGGTCTGGTTGAGAAAAATAGTGTATATATGACATAAGAAACAAAATCATTGAGGCCAATCAGATCAAGCCAAATGTATTCTCAGGGGTTTCTAAAGAAGACCAGCACTATTATGGGGGTGTCACACCCCCTCCACTTTGAATTGGCACTACTTCCATTTGTTGTAGTATTGTCTACATCTGTTCTGGTGTATTATCCCCTCTGCAATTTCACTATTAAATGTACAATAATTTCATTATCATTTCATTTCATTATTTCATTGTCATCTTTTATTTTATTATTTGCTTGAATTGATTTGAAAATGGTGAGAAAGCCAAACAAGTGTGCAGATACTCAACTGGGAAGCCAATAAAACTTCTCTTGAGGTCATCTAGAAACTCATAGTTCGCATACACTCAAGCTTTGACTGACCTTGACTGGATGAAGATATCCTTGTGCTCTTGGGGGTAGATGCTGCTCTGTAGGAATTCTTCCCTGATCCAGAGTCTGAGTCAAATGGGCAATGTAGTTAGTGGCCAAAACCAGGATGTCCAGTTTAGAGAGTTTGGTGTCGGGCGGGACGGCAGGCAGGGCGGCCTGCAGGCTGTGAAAGGCCTGGCGAAGGTTTCGCACCCTGCTTCTCTCCCGAGCAGCATTCTCAGGAGAGTGCTGAGGCCTGCTCAGTTTTTCCTGGGGCTCAAACCTATGCTGAACCTGCAGAAATAACAGACCTTGAAAAAAAGAGGTTTGACTCTATTTTATGACAAAACGATCGAATGATCATGATCATCATTGATAATAATAATAATAATAATAATGATAATGTTTCTTTATTAGCCCTATACAATTTCTTGCATTAGGAATGCGTCTTTTCGCATACCCCAGCTTTTCTCCATGGAGACAGACACAGAGACAGGGAGAGAAGCTTGGGGTCAGAGCGCAGGGTCTGCCATTGTACGGCGCCCCTGGAGCAGTTAGGGTTAAGGGCCTTGCTCAGGGGCCCAACGGAGTAGGATTCCTCTGCCGGCCGCGGGATTTGAACCGGCAACCTTCCAGTCACAGGCGCAGATCCTTAGCCACAGAGCCACCGCTCCACCCTTACCAGGAATAAACATTTTTCATTTAATGTGCAGATGAATGATCAGTCATCCTGAATTTTTTCACATTCAGGATATTAGAATGTCATCATTGGTGAAGCATATATACAGACATATTTGTTCCTTCTTGAGGCTTAACTAAGATACCTGAGGTTAGCTTGCCAGCAGTTGAGCCTTCAACCTGCTGGTGACTTTCATAGTAGACTCCCTGTTGATCAACCACTTAATAATCATAATGAATTTTACTTATGTTATGTCTGTTCAAAACAATTTGATAATAACTGTGAATCTGAGGAAGGTACAGTATAAGTGATAAGTCTTTTGCTGAGTATGTTAAAATTCATTCTCCATTTCAAAAGAAAATAGAGAACCAGTTTACCACGGTCTGATTTAATAGTGTCAGGCGGAAGAATCTGTAATGCTGCTATTTAGGCAGAGTACAAGAGGCAGTTTGCCCTTGCACACACTGCCAGAGTAATATTTCTCTTCCACTGTGGGTCTATACAGTGTATGCACATTTCCAGAGGCAGTCAGTACTAAAGTCTTTCCCATGTTCTGATTAACTGAGAGATGACACCCTTATACAGGACCCTGTTGTGTGACACAACAGCACATTTACTTTCACATTTGCAACACACAACTGCAGAAAATTCTGCAATTCTATTCCTGCTCTATGTTATCTGAAGATACCTCAGAAGAATATGGACATAAGCTTCCCTGTCATCCACAGCTACAGAGTCCATAGCAACCTGAGGCTGTCAGTAAATATCATTTAATACCTAAGAAACAGTTGTGGCAAATACTTATTTTCCATCGTGTATAGCTTTTCAAAGATATAATCAGGGGTATGCCCATTGAGATACCAGGATCTACAGTCAGTCCTTCTCAGCAGCTGTGGAAGACATACAGTACAGTATAGTGGACAGACTTCTTTTCATGAGATACTGTATTATCCTCACCCTTCCAATTACACGGCAAAGAAACTGATTCACATTCAGAGTGGACAGGTGGACCACAAGGAACAGTAAGGAATGTTAAATGTAAGAAATTATCATCCTTGAGGACAAATCAGATGGAAAAAATAATATCAAAAAGTTATTGTGTTCTCATTTTGGCAAAGGATGCATACCTGATAAGAACTGCAGGCACTTGAAAAACATTATAAATGAGTATAAAATGAATAAATAAAGAACACACAATAGAAAAGTGACATTTTACTGAAATGAAACTCTGCTGAAACAACAACAGAATAATAGTAAAAAAAAGTGCACAATGGTTTAACTAATGCATAAAATTAAAAATGTATGACAGAACAAAGATTGAAAAAAGCTACGTTTTAATTGCACAGCATCTTTGCTCAATTGTCATGTAAACTAATATAAAAGAAGAAGGATTAGTTCTCCATATATAATGAAACTACTCTCCAGGTTATGAAAGTGTCCCAAGATACCCACAAAATCTTTGAATGTAAATATATGAATGAATAAAACAGGTTACACCTGCTTCAAAAGAGCATGCCAGGAATAGAAGGTAAGACATAAGTAACAGATTGTGCTTCTGGTATCATTTGAACTGTAACTTCTCTCATCCACTTTTCCCATCCTTTTAACTGAAACCTATCGTCTAGGCATCCTTACAGTCTCCCACCTCTTACCACATAATCCAACTGCCTTAAATTTTTCCAGCTGAAACCTCTCAGTACAGCCAAGATCCTGATTTGCCAGGAGTTAACTCACCCATTTTGCTGGGTACCTTTGAGGAAGTCTGTGTCTGTGCTGCAGTACCTTGTTACCGGGCAGCTCGTCTGTGCCCAGCTCTTTCCAAGCTGTCTGGGTCATACCACTCAGCCTCTCAGCCATAGGTACCTCTTGAACCTCCAAGACTTCAGGCCAGCAAGGCCGAATAAAAACAGATCACAACCACGGCGCACAGCAAAGCCTGGGACCCCTCCCTAACGAAACAGCTTCATTCCACTGCTCGTGATGCTGTGTGAGCCGTTCCTTTCCCTCCCTTGCCTTATCTGGTGAGGTAATGAGGGGATCTTCAAGCAACCCTTATCTCCTGAGCCACCCCCTCTCTCCCTCCCCCGGGCTCTCTCTGCCAAGGGAGCTGCCTCGAGGGAATTGCGGACCATCCAGAGGCAGGATATGGAGCTTGGGAAAAACAGGAGGCTGACGGGACCAGCAGCTGGAGCCTCTTACCACTCGTTGACATGTATTTTAAACGGTGATCACAGCCTTTTCAGCTTTAATAGCAAAAAGGACAATAAGCGTTAACTGGACACCCAACCTCTCTTTTCCATTATCTTGCATACTCACATAATTTAAATGCACTTATAAACCAAGAGTCTACCCCTTCTCCTTCTGTGCATGTGATATTTAACAGGTGATTTGGGCTTGACCAATCATGTAGGAGACCCAGTTCTCATTATAGTGCTTTTATCTTGATTTATCGCTTTAGCATCATGTGAGAAATACTTCTTTGATTTTTTTTAAGGTTTGTGATCAGAATGTAACTTGACAGACAATTGTTTCAAGTGATACCAGTTTAGTAAAAGCTACTCCATCACTTTAACATCTTACTCTCAGAAAAATGACCATGAATTTCAATTTAATTCCTAAAATGTTGAGGAATGCCTTTCTGGCAAACAAAGTGGTTTGTCCTTTCCTGCAAGTTGATTTCACCTCACACTGATCCTAGATAGATTGTGTCTACTGTTTCATACAATATGCTTTTACAAAATATTTTCTCCAGATTCAAACATACTAATAATAACAAAACCCAAGATTTAGTGAAAGGTAGTTAATACCAAATTATGATGCTCCTGTGGGGTGATCTCTTCTTCTATCTTGGACATTCCTGAAATGTGATGGCATGTGACATATAGGTTAGTTAAAGGTTTATCACACTAAGTGATGCACAACTCTGGGTTCCTCAACAGCTGCACAATTGCGAGAAAATAATACCATGGTCCTACCTGCTGGCAGAAAGTTCTTGGTTCTGGAAGCATTAATTCAAACAATTGATAAATTAAGTTCGGAAATGCATATGTCCTGCGTTGGTCATAGCTCTTCCCAGAGTTTGTACCCGTGTTGGAACTAAATACAGAATGAAGCTACTTCTGTGGAGAATGTGACTGAACAATTTCTTTACACACCAACATGAGGAAAATGCAGGTGATGCATGTGTTACCAATGTGCGAGGGATTGGTGAGTATGCTATTTCTTTGTGAGCAAAAAGAAAAAACAGTAGAACAGCCCAGTTTTTACAATTCTTAAGCAGTGCCTAGTTACCATCACATTTTAAGCAGTTATAAAAAACAAACATTTTTGTGAATTACAAAGTGTTTTTTTTATTTGGAAGTGTAGTGTAGAACACCAATCAAGATCCAGAAAAGAAACACAAGGCAAAAAAAAGCACAATGTGTAACAATCAAAGTCAATTCTAGTTCTTCAGACATCATTGAGGATTTGGAGAAGAGACCTAAAAAACTTAGAACTATGGTACTTCAAGGCCAAACAGACATCACTGTTATTGGTTAACACTTTGAAAAGAACGTAGTGATTATTCTCTACTGTCCCCCACTAGTACTGTAGGAGATCATAACACATTCAATCTGATTATCTTTGACCACAATCTGGATAACAAATGCTTTTTACCGTTTATGCTTATAGTCTTCAAAAGTTCAGCAGTCAAGACCATACTCTCCAATTGCATCCACTAATGGCTTGTGACATTTATAAACATTGGAAATAAACCTCTATGATTTTCTAATTGGTCCAATAATACTGCAATACCTGTGTAATTGTAAAAGCTAAATATAATCAAATATAATTTGGAATGAAGTTTACATTCTTCTTAGACCAAACCAAATAATCAACTGTTTTTACCATGTTCAAGAAAATGTGAGCAAAGACAATGCCATAATGAACTCTAAACTGCAGTCATAACACTGCATAATACATACAGTATCAACAACATTTTAATTCTAATACATATTACAAACATGTTGCTGGTTACAAACTTGATAATAAACTGCTGTGCACTTGGTGACATACTAACACTGGTGATTAACTATCATACTGTTATTGATTAATGGTTTGCAATGCACATCTTATGAATACAAATAAGAGTGTTTCACTAACAATGCAAGAGTTGTGGTAAGTTTTTTAACTAATTCTCAGAACAGAAAAGTAAGACAACTCTTGTTCAGATATTCATAAAATAATCTCATTTTTGAATTCTAACTCTAAAGTGTTATTGTTACTGTGTATTTGTAACTCCATCCCTTCATGCCTTAATTCTTTCCCATTTACACACTCAGAAGTTAATATTCAGGTATCCTTATTTCTATAATGTGTAAGACATTAATGCATCATTAATGTGAGATACTCGTTTTTGCTTTTCACCACACAATAGCTGATGAATGTAATTTAAAGCCATTTGATTCACGATTCCTGGTAATTATCAGTATTAAGTAATCACCTAAATTAAGCATCTTGGTAATTAATGTATACTTAATTATTTGCGTGTTGTGACTGTTTTTTATGCTTTTCAACTAAGCTTTCATAACATTACATTATTTTTGTCTTCTGAGTGTTGCTCTGTTCATTTCCTGGTCTTAACAGTTCACTGAAAACATCTACCTCTTAAAACGTGGACTGAAACCTTGCGCATCCTATTCAGTCAGGAAGAATAGGAAATCCTTCCATTTCCCTTGACTCACTTAGAGAATTATTTTAACAAGCTCAACGCATGCCACCTCTGTACAACTAACTGTAAAAAAGGCATTGATGCTCAAAGGCAAAATTCTGCTGCGTCAGTCAGAACAACAAGCTGAAAGATAATGAATTCATCTTAAAGAGGCTGATCTTATAATGCCAATCACTATCGCTTCTGATCTGGCATTTTAAAAAAAAGGTAGCTAAGTGCCTAAGTGCTCAGTGAAGGAGCATGGGCCTGTAGCTTACTTGCTCACTTTTTTAACAAAGCTCTGGATGTCTGCCGCCAGCAGCTCTGGCTCCTCGAAAGCCCCAAAGTGTCCCCCACGGGGCAAATAGTTGAAAGACACCACGTTCGGGTACTTCTGCTTTGCCCAGATTTTCGGCAAGTGCACCAGCTCATTGGGAAAGCAGGCAACGGCAGTGGGAACTCGCACAGGTACTCTGGAAGACCAGAGAGAAGGTAAGAGAGAAGGTAACTGTCAGAACAGTGGGGAGCCTCTGGCCTGTATGTTTTAGTATTGATTCTCCCATAATATCACAGAATACAAAGTCTGAATTTTTTTGCTTTTTGTTCAATTCATTAATAGAAAGAAAAAAACTTCAAAGAAGTTTCCCTGAAATCGAATCAATTTTTTCCTCTGCCAAGTGAAATGTTATAGTTAGTAGAGTGGGCTTACCAAAACTGGAATTCTGCTCTTAAGGTTCCTACATCTTTACAAACTCACTTGTCATGTTTTTGAGTGCCGACTCCTCTCCCTAAGATTTCCTTGTAGAGGCGCATTGAGGAAATAATAGAACCCGTCACCCAGTAAATCATCACGTTAGTCAGGAGGTCATCTATGGAATATTTCCTGAAAATTCAACAAGTTAGGGATTGAAAAGAGTGTCCAAGTGAAACCACAAATTATAAATAAGGTGACAGCAATCAGGTAAATAAGTTAAGTTATAATGAACTATTAACAAACAAACTGAACAGCTTTAAATTTCTTCTTCAAGGTGTGCGACAATAAAAATGGCTGTTTTTTGTAACAAGTTTTGTGACCCACACACGGCTTTAAATGGCTTGAAAACCACAGCATATGGAAATAAAGTACATGTCCCCATGTAGTGCCCTCCAAAAGTATTGTGACAGCAAAAACAATTTTGAAATTCTCTGCAGTCAAGTTATTTGTTTTTGTGACACTGTGGTTATTATTCATATTAACTATCATATAATCTATTTTATTTTTGAGTCATTCCAAATATACATTTGATCATATCATAAAAAAATACTCTGTGTTCAACCCAATTACTTTAAGTTATCATAAGAATTGGGACAAATTCACTTTAAGTGAATTACAGAGTGTAAAAGTTAGTATTTGGTTGCATATCCCCGTAAGGCAATAACAACCAGTGAGTTCAACACAAAGCTTATTTTTATTATGATTAAAACTATTCATGAATTACCCAAATATAAAATGTATATTATATATTGGATTTGTCATTTACATTATATTAATGATCACATACTGTACACAAAATGCTGGATTGTAAAGTCAAACTGTGTCGTCTAAATATGAATGTCACAACAGTTTCTAACACAACAGTTTCTAAGGGTGTTGCTCTGTACTGCCTTTACAAACATTTGTGCAGTCAATAAGGTTTTATACATGTGTACAATTCTGCCTGATGAACTATGATCATATGCATGTCTACTGTAAATTTTCACTTCACTGTGCAGTGCCACTCTAGAAGTTTTGCAATGTCACTTGTTCTTATATGTCACTTGATTTTATAATTTCATTTTATAATGAAATTATAAAATCATTTATAATTTACTTAGTTTTTAGGAATTTAAAACTTTGATCGCCCAAGGACAATATTCTCTTTCAAATGGCTACCAAAGTATAAAAATAATTTTAAAGAATTTAAATAAAGGATTAAATCTCTTTGATAAAAAGACATTCAGGAAAAAAAGACAGTGTCTAGCAGATACCTCTCCAATCCTCCATCTTCCAGGTTCCTGAACTCTGGATCAGTCCATGTGGAAAACTTCTCCAAGATGTACACAGCCAGGCCAACAGGAGAGTCATTCAGTGCACGACCTGCAGAATGCAAACACAATATACAGTACATATCAAACTGCCTGTATAAATGTTTGGGATCTCAAGGAAAATAAAGTGCATCACTGGCATTGGGGTACTTTTTGCTTTTTTGCCCTCCACAGAGATATGGACTTATCCTTTTTAAAGCATCCTTTATGTGGAGGGTACACTGTTGATCTTAAATTGAGGAAAGCACACATGCTTAAAATAACAGTGTTAACACTGTATACTTTGGCTTGGTGCTCCAGTTCTATTATTGGCAGATATGAATGAGGAACTGTCCACTTGGGCGGTGAATGTGAGAAAACAATGACTTTAGAAATGTCTAAACAAATATACTTTGCCAATGACAAAGACCTCTTAGTTGTTGTCTTCAGGAATATTAACTTCAGATCTTTTGAAACAAGAAATGAGATGCCTACCAATAACTCATAATACGATAAGACCTGAGATTCTCTGGAGAGCCCAAGCCAGGAAAAACAACAAGATATCCATAAACTTTAGGAGAGAATATTCTGAAGAGATAAGGTATAAATCCCTTTCATATACTTGCTTGAAAAAATATCTTTACTAATGCCCTCCCACTGAAAACATACATGTATAGGGATGTTTAAAATATTCACATAAAAGCAACACAAAAGTAAAGAAAAGGCAGACTTAGCTTAAACCTTCAATTATAAAGAAACTTCAGTCAAAAAAGAGGCAACTACATGTATAACACACGGTATCTATCCTAGATATGTTATAGGATTAAAAAAAAAAAACTGGTAGAAAAAAAAGTTATGTGATTGTTATTGCAAATCACAGATTATGCAGTGAGAATAAATTATTTTTATTAGAATCGGCACAGTTGGCTCTAAATTCCAAAAACGCAAAGACATTACTGTAAGACAGTAATGGATTTTGTAAAAGCATCTTTCCACATTAAGTACAAGATAACCACATTTGTCTAAACATGCAATGTTCACATTCATTCCCACTCTGTTAATGGCAAAAATAAACTTTGAAAAGTAAATTTGCTGTTGTTTATCATCATCTGATTTCACAAAGCCTCAGAAGCCTCAATGAGTCAATTATTACAAAGCCACCAGGTAATCAATAAGGTCTTACACAGAAGCTTAATACTCAGAACCACTTCATCATGGGGCCAGTCAAAATAATTGTCCAAAGATATGAGGTGAAAGATCTTGGACCTCAGTATCTCTAATGATGACTTTAAAATAACCATAAGACATCCCAGAGTTGATTGTGATTTTCACCATTCACATATTCTAGGTGATTGTAATAATTGCTACTCCAACAGGAAGAGAACACAAAAATAATTTTTGTGTTCAAAGTTTTACCCTGATGTGCAGTCAGAAATGTAGTTTGAGAGGATAATTTATACTAGGGACAAAAACTGGATATTTTCTATGAAGTACAGAAATGGCTCCATTTCATAATGTAGTTTGAGAGGATAATTTATACTAGGGACAAAAACTGGATATTTTCTATGAAGTACAGAAATGGCTCCATTTCATAACCTCTGGTTCTGGAGTCCTTGTTAGAAGTGAGGGTTAGATGGATTCCAACAAATATTAATTTGAACTTGAAGCCCATCTCCAGATTTACTACCACATGGTTAAAGTAGCATAAAATTAAGGTGCTCAGCTGCCCATCACAATCTCCAGACCTCAATTCAACAGAACATCTATGGTATGAACTAATGAAAATACTTTACAAGTACAATCTGAAGGAGCTGGAGAAGTACAATACTAAAGGACTAGAAGGATTAAAAATTCCATACAAAATGAGCCAAAATCCCTACTGAAATGTGAATGAACGTATTAAAAGGCTACAGGAAGTACCTTCTCTGTATTATCCCATCTAAAGGAAGACCAACAAAATACTGCTTACTATGATGTGAAACTGTTTTTGTTGCAAACTCCAGTACAGGAAGTCTTACCATTTCCATGCTTTTGTTTACTCGTGCAAGAAATACTGAATGTTCAATCACATATTTTCTACAACCATAAAAATGGGAAACAGATAACAGGAATCAAATCAAAGCTTTGTGTGAAGTACATCACTATCATTAATATAGCATCATAACACAGAAATAAAGGCACTGATATCACAATATAGGGCAGTGATAACAACTAATAAAAACTGCATTAAGGCTGAGTGTTCACACCAAAGCTAACATCGGCTGACGTTTCAAACTGAAAAGGTAATTCAATCCCTGATGACATTAACAGCCCCTAACCTAGCCTTGGCTGCCTAACTCACCTGCAGTGTCAGGCTTGGTGGCCTGAATGTGCAGGTACCCCGACTCCTTCAGCAATTCCACGACCACCTTCTTCATGAAGGGAAAGAGACGCTTGACGTCGTGATCCTTGAGCTCAAATAGCCCGGGAAAACGCTGCCCAAAAAGTAGAGACAGCCCCGCAATCAAGCCAGGATTGGCCACCGACAAAAAGCTGAGGTGCAGGCCTTTAACACGACTAAAGTAAGGGACACAAGAATATGGTTATACAAAGGACAGGAAGCCATGTGATTCACCTTGTAAAAGAGGAAAGGTGAACCCTCATAGGTGAAAGTAAAAGGCATATTTACTTTAACAAATAATAATTTAATAAATTTAGCACAGATCAGTCAATTAAAAGTTTTGTATGCCTGTATCCTTTAATAGACTTGAGAGGTTATGTGAAAAGCAACCTCACTGCCAGTCTCCCTTGAACTGTAAAGAAATCACAGCTGTAATCACTGCTACCTGTTTTAAGCACACAAAGTTAATTAAATGGGCGGTCTCTGGTTCCAGCCATAAACCCTATGATTCATTAGTCTTAGACTACTGTACATGGTACAGCTAAAATATATCATACTGTACCTGATGACTGTAATGACTTTAAAGTTTATTACAACTGTTAGTTTTTGTGTTTCTAATACATACATCCACCATTCTTATAAAATAAACATTTGAATGTATGGATATTTTTACATTTCTCAGTTCCAAACTTTCAGTAACCTTTAAAGGTCTGTTCAGCAAAAAACATATCAACCATTCAAATAGATTGAAAAATCCTCCAGTTACCCTGAATTCCAATTTAGTGCAATTCATTTTAATAGCACAGAATTGAACAAAGGCAGGAATTAACCCACCCCCCCACCCCCATTTTTGATCTTTTACCTGGGCTGCAGCTGGGCTATATTCGTACAGATGAGACATCCCCAGTCACCTCCTTGAGCATAGAACTCGTTGAAGCCAAGTCTCTTCATGAGCTTGTAGAATATGTGAGCAGCACACACTGAGTCAAAGCCTGCCAGGGACATTGATCACAGCTTCATGTATTTGTACACACAGCCACCCTTCAAAACCACCCATCCGTTTTCTACCCACTTATTCTCATTCAGAGTCACAGAGGGAGCCGGAGCCTATCCCAGCAGGCAGCAGGAGCATGGCAGGGTAAACCCTGGACAGGAAGCTAGTCTATAGCAGGGCAGACACAGACACAAAATCACGCACGCATGCAAAATATTCCAAGAAGCCACTTAAATTAACAGGGCATTTTTGGACTGTGGGAAGCAACTGGAGCACCTTGAAGAAACCCATGGGAACACAGGGAACACATACAAGCTCCATTTGGCGAACACCCCAGGTCCAAAACTGAAATTGAAATAGCTAACTGTTGAGGAATCTCATCACCTGCAGCAGAACCTGAAGTTAAAGCTCAAACTGTACATTATTACCAGAATGAATTAAACCAATACATTTTTCCTTTCTCATGAGTAAAACTGAATTACAAAATGGCAGTAGCTGTGTCGAAATGAATAAGTTTCCTGTGCAAAGATGTGTTTTTTTTCACATGGCTGAAGAATGGCTGGAGTTTTTCCCCCAATGGTACCACAAAACGTTTGCATGAGCTTTGCCAAAAGACAAACAGCATTGACACCATCACCTCAGAGCTCCGGCGGCAAAAGGCTCTACTTTAACAGAAGAAAGCAAAACAGGCCCTGATATACTTCATACCTAAAAGGAACATCAGCAGGGTGGTACAGTACAGCCTACTTTATAACACTGCATTGTGAGCTGCAACAGCACCCTTTAACAAATAAACAGTGACAGACACAAGCATTTAATGACTATGCACTGTCTCGATCACTTGAATGTCTTTAAATCGCCAGCAGCCATATCACCTTGCAACTCACAACTGGCTAAGCAGGTGTGAGCCTGGTAAGTACCTGGATGGGAGACCTCCAGGGAAAAACTAAGGTTGCTGCTGGAAGAGGTGTTAGTGGGGCCAGTAGTGGGCACTCACCCTGCAGTCTTTGTGGGTCCTAATGCCCCAGTATAGTGACGGGGACACTATTCTGTAAACAGGCGCCATCCTTAGGATGAGATGTAAAACCGAGGCCCTGACTCTCTGTGGTCATTAAAAATGACGTTTCTCAAAAAGAGTAGGGGTGTAACCCCAGTGTCCTGGCCAAATTTCCCCATTGGCCCTTACCAATCATGGCTTCATCACTCTGTTCTTCTCCCCACTAATAGCTGATGTGTGGTTCTAGCGCACTATGGCTGCCGTTGCATCATTGCACATTGGTAGTATTTGAGAGGAGTCCCCATTACATGTAAATACAGTGACCCTTCTCCTCAGCTCACTCCATTACCTTACCTTGTTTATGAGGTGCCTCAGAGAAACCATAACCTGGAATGGAGGGACAGATGACTTGGAATACAATGTCATCAGGGTTGGCGGGCTCGGTCAGGAGAGGCAGGATTCCGTAGAATTCAAAGAAGGAGCTAGGCCAGCCATGTACCATGAGCAGAGGAATGGCAGTTTTTCCCTCAGGGAGGTGAGGAGGACGCACATGGATAAAGTGAATGTCAAGCCCTGAATGCACAGACACGCACTGTTAGAACTGCAACTGTATTTAAACGCTGCACCAGAACTGAGAACATACAAATGCAGAAACATTTATTGCTTACTGATCTTTCTTTTAATATTGTTTGGATTCCAAATCCTGGCTTTTAAAAAAGTGTCTTTAAATACCAGTCTGATCCAAAGCATAAAAACAAAGGTGACGCTAATCCAGGTCAAATTTGCCTAACATCTCTTAAAATAATTTTCATTGGCAAATTTGTTCTGGCAAATATTTGGAATGTTGTAATGTGTGTTCTGGAAAAAAACAGATTAAAGTTTGAAAATGACTCCTTTAAAGTTCACTTTTAAGAGACTGCCAATATAAAGAAGTACTGAGAACCATCCTCAAACAGGCCCGTTTTAGGAAAATAAGTTGAAGGTCATTAAAAAATACTGGGACCTCCCAAATGGCTAAATCAGCAAAGGTGCTTGCCCAAGCATAGGGTGACCTCTATGATCACGGGTGTAGTGTGTTTCATGTTGCTAGATCTCTGAATGAGATTGCCCATGAAGCAGTACACATGAGATGGGGTCAGTCAGTCAGTGCTTGCGCAGATCTCCCTAGGTTTGTGGTGCTGATAGCCTTTCAGTGAGGGCTCAACCTCCAAAACAGGGCTGTTTTCCCTGCAAAATGTGGCTTAAAGGTCAGAATGTGTGCAGGCACTTCCATACTCTCCCGTGTGCCGTCATGGGTATCGTCGCTGATACCCAAGAAAAAAACATAACTGGGTATCCCAGATCGGGCGAGTATAATAAAAATAACTTTCAAAATAAGGATTCCAAATAAAAAACTGAACCTCACCGTCAATTTTGGTTTTAAAATGTGGATATTTATTTAGTTTTGCGACTTGCTTTTCCCAGTCAAACTCGTTCCTCCAGTAGGACACCACTTTTTGCAAGTATGTGGAGTTAAATCCATAATGGAACCGGCTTTCCTCCAGAGAGGGAACAGGTCGTGTCTGATCAATGCGTCTGTATAAATCCTGAAACACAGAATGAAATCTTTTGGTTCTTTTACAGATGTGAGCAATCACCCTCATAAGCTGCAATTTTCTATGCACAGCATATACAATTATACAAGAGTGCTACAAAAAGAACCCTCAAGGGCAGATCACTTCCCTTCATCTGTCCTGAAACAAACTTCTCGCATCCTCATGACCCCACCTGAATCTCCTCAGTGGACGTCTGCACTCTGAAAGGACGAATGGTCTCGTCCTCCGCAGACTCAGGCCGCTGGCCTGCTCCCCACCAGCCATCCTCAGCCTCCAGTGTCTCCTCCACCTTCTTCTTTCTGAACACCAGCAGACAGACCACTACTCCCAGGGCCACAGCTGCTGCCACCTCCAAAAGCATGGTGCCCAATGCTACAGACATAGAAAGCAGAGAGTCATCCATTTTCTTGAGCACCGAGCATGGGCAGACTGAACACACTGGGTGTGTATTTTTTTAATAGATTTTATAATATTCTTCATTTTTGCAGACAAAACCCTTTGGGGGAAAAAAAACAGTAAATCAGTAATCGGACTAAAACAACCCCATTCTTCCCCTGACCACCTCATAACTTTAACACCCTACCTGCATCCATCCATCCATCCCCACTTAAATTGGCCACCCCTTGTGTGCAAATGTATGTGAATACAGGGGGTATTACTGTATACTTTCTTGCACAAAGACCTGTAACTTTATTTTGAAAGTGTGAAAACTCACGATACGAGTGGAACTGAAAAGACAGGTGGCTATTCCCCAAAATAGAGAATATTTTAATATTGTATGTTTAATAGCGTTTTAGATAAACTTATAATCTGCAAAATGCAGAAAGTGGTCAAATCTGTGCTATTCTGTAATTCAGAATGAAAGCCTGACTGGCTTGTTACAAACACTGTGAAGGCCTATTAAAGTTAAACAACAACTTCCATGAACAGCAAAAGGGATTAGCGTATGAATTAGCAGAGCCCTTGAGCTCCCTCAAGACAATGAATTTATCTTCTTTCAAATTAACGCTTTAATCTAAGTCTCACCCTTTTACTTCTACATGGCACACTGAATGACAAAAAACATCCATTGGTATGCACTGTATCTGAAAGTATATTTAAAAGACTCTGAAAGTACAGTAGACTGCTGGCAGGTAACTGCCAAAATAAAGAAAACACTCAAGTAAATGAGGGATACAAAATATATTCAAAGCAGGTGCTTCCACAAAGGTGTGGTTCTTGAATTAATTAAGCAGATAACATCCCATCATGCTAAGGATCACGTATAAAAATGGTGAATAGGCCCAGTTTCCTAATATTCTTGATACCATGGCTAGAAGAAGAGATCTAAGTAATTCTTAGAGAGGGGCGATAGTTGGGGCACATTTGCCAGGAGCTTCAATGGCGAAATCAGCTCAACATGCCGATGTTTCACAAGGAAGAGTGGCTAAGGTGATATTGACATGGAAGTCTGAGGGAAACCCATCATCAGCTAGGGGCAACTGTGGATGAAAGCACATACTCCTTGGCAGTGATGTCCAGATGAGTACCGTTGACTGCAAGTATTAATCTACGGCGCAAGCAGGCAGCTTCATCAAGTCACAGTCCGTCAGACTTCACAGAGAGAGATACTATGGTTTGGTTACAGTGCATGAACACCCTTATTGGGCCTAAAAAAGATCTCTTGCGGAAAAGGTGGTGCGTCCAGTGGTCTAAAAGTCACGTGGTCAGATGAGTCATTCTTCACCCTGTTCTCAACAAGTGGATGAGCACACGTGTACATGTGCCAAAAAGGTTTAAAGGCTCATGTGCCTGTTTCCCACAGTAGAAGGGGTCTGCTGGCTCTGTTCTGCTGTAGGGTCCATTTTCCAGGTATGGTTTAGGTCCACTCCACTCGTTAGAGGGCAAGGTAAATGTCAATATACAGTATAAAACGCCATGCTGAGTCATCACAATTATCCTACAGTGAAGCATTTTTTTCCTGATGGGAGTGGAATCATAGATGACAATGCCCCCCCTATTGACAGGGCACGTGTGGGTACTGAATGGTTGTGTGAGCATGAAAACGGTGGAAGCTATATGTCCTGGCCATCCCAGTCACCAAATCTCTAAAGATGGAAGATCTTCCTATGGAAGATCTCGTGGTGTCACATTCCTCCAGTGGAGTTCCAGACATTTGTAGAATCTATGCCAAGGCACCTCCAAGCTGTATGAGGCTTGATGCCCCAGTGCCTTATGAAGACACTCTTATGTTGGGGTTTCCTTTATTTTGGCAAGTACCTGTACTTTCCATTACAAAACGTTCTGTAAACATTCTCCCCCACAGATAGCCACTCCCTGCAGCTTTTACTGACCTGGCCTTCAGAGAGTGGAGTGAAAGAGTTCCCCCTGGAGAATTGCAAGAAAAATAAAATGTGAATAAGAAACGCATAATAACATTAGAAACAAAGGAACAGGAAAAGGTTTATTCCATGCTGAAAGGAAAAGAGATACAATGTTTTGGCTCTGGAGCCTTCTTCAGGTGCCCACACACAATTTTATACTCACGGGAACAAGTAATATGTTTATTCCATGCTGAAAATAGAAGAAAACAAAACGTTGAGGCCATGGAGCCTTCTTCAGGTGTGAAGCTCAGGAATAAACCCATTACTTGTTCCTTTACTCACTATAAGTGTATATCACAAGGAAATGCAAATCACTTCCTGAGGATCTGCTTTGCTGTAGTCAAGAATAAAAACAATATCTTATTTATCTCAACTGTTTTCTAACAATCCAAGGAGATTTAACCTACAGCATTTATGAAGTCATTGGCATGCTGTTTAAATACATCTCTGTTTATCGTAACACAACACAATTAAATAAAGACATAAAGCAATTTCAAAGTGGATTTCTGTGTATTGACCAACAGTCCTAACCTTAAATTTACAGCAACAATGTTGTTACAGCTACAGTAAACTTTCACTTTTCAAAATACAAAATTGAAATTGAAAATTGAAATGTTGAAATTTCAAAAACAATTATATAAAAACTAACGTTTTCCTGACATGTTCAAAAATTTAATATATTTTGGCTTTTTATGATTTGCATTATATCTGATCATGCTCTTGCCTACAGATCGTATGGATGTCTATAGATTAAATGGAATTAAAACATTCCAAACAAAATACATTATAACAAAATAAAAAGAGCCGCACAGCTGCTCACAGGTTGCTAAGTAATCAAGAAAGATGGCTGCCAGTGAAAACAGGCCTGGCAAAATCTCTCCTGAAAAAGTTGAAGTTGAACTAAAGCAGTGAACAGGAAAACGAGAATTGCAAAACTGTGCTAAAAGTAAACAAAGTCTGGAACAATTTTTGCATCCACATTGTTATGAAAATGAAAAGTAGCAGTTCTCATGAACTGGGAAAAGAAATGAAAGGAAAACAGACATTTGCTCTCATGACCCTTAACCTAAATGTTGTTTACACACAAGATAAAGGCTGAGGGCCATTTGCAGTAATCTGATGATCCTTGGAAAAAAGGAAAAGATTACTATTGCAGCAACTGAAATGGGGGTCAAGTTGGACTAATAAACTCAAAAGTACTGGTTGTCATCTGAACTACTTTCTGCAAAAGGCATGCTTAAATTTCTGTAGAGCCCCTTCTTTATATTTAATTTAGAATTTCGATTTTTTGTCTCTTTTGTCTCTTCCAAAGCATAATTGCTCATTACATTTTAAAGATTGGCAGTCAATTCTGACAAAAAACTCTACTTTCAGAATTGAAGGAAAAATTGGTATACCAGATAGAGAAC